TCCTATGAGTATTAGGATTTGATACACACCATATATGGTGTTATGATGAAAAATGCTTTATGCCTTCAGTCTTTACCATGTCATTATCTTCTTTAGGTCAGGCCTTGACTTCACTTCATGTGCACCCTTCTCTCCCCTTCCCGCAACCATGAACTTCAAACCTGGACTCTGATGTCCTTATCACTATCATAAGCCAGATAACCATTTACTGCTAGAAAAGCCACTAGAGCAGGACCAAGTAGGGGCTGGGGAAAACAGATGGTTAGGTATAGAGAGACAGGAAGTGATTTTTCCTTCTGGTATTAAATGAGGGGCAGAAGCAAATGCCATCTTTGTCCTCAGCATCCCCTGCCACCTTAGACCCGAGGAGAGCCTGTGATCTTTGTCTTCTGAAGGAAGGTCAGTGAAACTAGAGACATGTGCTATAGGATGGGCCAACACCCCTCTGCTCCTCGCTCAACGGCAGAGTGTGGGCAAATTTCATGACAGAGCTCTTCTCTGCTCCTATCAACATGAACAGCCAGCTCAGTGCTGAATGACAACACCCATCACTTTAGGTATTTCTTTTATATTAAATTTTTTAAAAATCTATTTGACAAAAAAATAGTAACTTTAACCCTGACTTAATATATTTTTTTGTCCTCTGCATGAAGCATCCCACAGAGCTAAGAATAGTCAGGATTGCCTCGGAAATTGAACCTAGTAGAGCTTGATGCTCTGTAGTGTGAGGAGCAAAGACAGTTGTCCGATCGGTTGAAATCAGCCATGCCTGGGGATTGCCTCAATCCCGGTGTGCCTTTTAAAACCATGGGAAGTTTTGAATTATTTCCATAAAAGAAAAATTCTCCATTTCAGAAATACATTAAAAGGCACACTTTTATTGGAAATGTAAATAGTCACTTACTTTTCCATGACAGTCACCTTCATCATTGATATTCACTTCATGATGAGAATTCTATAGACAAATGAAGGTCAAAGCTCCTTAGACTCCTCTCATGAGGAAAACTATTATTTTTTAAAATGTTATCATTGCACACATATGTAGACATATAAATATTTATATGGAAACTTACCACCTAGTCAGTGAATAAAAATGGGAATAGAAATGATGTGCTCTGGGAAGCCTCCCTGTGTGACTGTACTTTTAAATCAGGAGGGCACTCTGTTTCTTTTGCCATTTCTGTCTCTGTGTCTAACAGGGAAAGGTCAACATTTCATGTAACATAAGCAAAAAAGGACTTTGGATTCTCTCTCTGTTTACAGAAAGGAAAACATGTGAGGCCCCAGAAGGCGAAGTGACTTAAGATCACACTGCTGGGTTAAACCTAAAACACAGTTTTCTTGATTCTCAATCCAGTCCTACCTCAGTGGTATTGGAAGTATTGATCAGAGTAGTAATCAGCAGCATTGACAAAGGTAAAAAGTTATCAGGTTAGCTAGTAAAAATAGAAGGCATTACAGTAGCAAATTCAGGAGAAACTATGAAGGTCAGCCAGACCTCAGAGAGACAGAAAGACCACAGCTGCACTGTGGAATTATGTGTATTCTGCTAAACCACAAGAGTAGGGCAGATGAGTGCACAGTAGAAATCTAGCTAGAAAAGGTAAAGGTCTTCGGTCAAAGTTGTCCCATGCATTCGCCTCTCAGGGCTGCCCTAGAAATTGGACCCTACATTATGATTCAAAAGAAAAAAAAATCTTAATTAAAAAATAGAACCAGTAAATAGGGGCAGAGTCACATATGGTCTCGGAAACACTGTCTTGAGGGAAACTCTGGGGAGGGCTTAGAATTGGGCCACAAAAAATAATGATGTCATCATGAGAAAGAAAATGATTTCTGTATCAAATGGTGGACTTGAGCCTGAAAACTGCAGAGTAAGGTCCTCGGGCTTGCTGTTCTGGTGATGTGCTCTGGTGCTTCTCCCTTGACTCTGATCAGGGGCAGTGTCGCATGTGATTCAGGAAGTAATGGACCACACTGCCTTAGAGTGTATTCTAACACTGCCAACCAGAAGGAAACTTCAGGCACCCCAGACCACAAGCCTGGGATAAGCTGGGAAGAACATAAACAGCTGCAATAAAGCACTTATGTTTCCCTCGCACTGCAGCATTTGAAGTCCCATCACAGGACCACACACTTCATCTTCATAGAAAACCTATAACACAAATAGCAACTATTAGCCCCTTTAAAGAAATGTGCAAACCGAGGCTCACAGGATTGCATAGTATTCGTGGAAGATCATGCCAGACACAGCAAGGTCCGAGAATCCAAATTTCTGAATTCCTTTTTCCATTTTATTAAGCAGATTCACCATAAAATGGAGTAAAAAAAAAAAAAAATCACAATCCATAGTTAATGCAGAAATTTTTCAAAAGGTATCACCTCATATTTCATGGAAATTACATGTTTAAAGTCTTCCTTCTATTTTTCCTCCTAAAAGGGAAATAGTTTTAGAAGAGAAATTATTTTCTGTTTGGTTCTCCTTCCAAATAGTTTTTCCCAATGGAAATAGAAATTTTTGACATGAGGCAGCCTGGTCTTAATGTCTGGCTTATTTTATTTTTTTTAGAATTTTCTTATTTTTTAAGTAAGCTCTGTACCCAGCATGGGGCTTGAACTCACAACTCTGAGATCAAAAGTCACATGCATAACCAACTGAGTCAGCCATGCACCCTGATGTTTGGCTTATTCTAATTGTCATATCTAGTGATTACAAATAAATCACTTCTCAAATCTAGATTTTAAAGTTAATGGAATGGGATGTATTTGGTACTTTGTTCTATTTACATTCTAAAATTGAACAGGGGTGGGACGAGGCTAAAAATGGGCTACACAAACCCTTTGGTAGTTACTTAATACTCTTGCAGGATGATCACAGTAGTACCAGTTAAGATATAACTGTTTCCTGTCCCCCGAAAATACTTGTTCTAGGTAAGACACAAAGCTCTCCACAGAAAGGGCAGTAACTGTTGTGACAATCTACCTGCAGTATTTGGAACACATTTGTAGGGGCATGTCCCTGCCTAGTCTTGTTTAGGTAGGGCATCCTTTCCTTTGGTAGGTCTTCTCGTTTACAAGTGAATGGATGAATAAAGCCAATTACGATTAACTGCACTTATGAGAGGTATCAACAAAGATTAACAGGTTTCATTTTTATGAGAGTTGTGCTCTTTGTACTCTTGAGATTCTCTTATAAACTTATAGGACCTAGAGCTTTCCAGCTACATACTGTACTTAATTAATCCAATGGTTAAAACAGAGGTACTCATCTATCAATGGACAATTGGGTCACTCCCATATCTTGGCTATTGTAAATAATCTTGCAATAAACAAAGAGGAGCAAAAGTCTTTTTGAATTACTGCTTTGGTTTTTTGGGGGGTAAAGAAGATGTGGTATATATATATATAATGGGATATTACTCAGCCATAAAAAAGAATGAAATCTTGTCATTTGCAAAAACATGGATGGACCTAGAGGGTATATGCTAAGCAAAATAAGTGAGACAGAGAAAGACAAATGTCATATGATTTCACTCATATGTGTAATTTAACAAACAAAACAAACAAACAAAGAGAGACAAACAAAAACCCAGACTCTTAAATACAGAGAACAAACTGAAGGTTGATGGAGGGGACATGGGTGGGGGGATGGGCTAAATGGGTGATGGGTATTAAGGATGGCACTTGTGATGAGCACTGGGTATTATATGTAAGTGATGAACCACTAAATTCTACTCCTGAAACTAATATTACACTATATGTTAACTAACTAGAATTTAAATAAAAACTTGAAACAAAACAAACAAACAAAAGCAAACAAAAGAGACAAACAAAAAAACAGACTCTTAAATACAGAGAACAAAATGGTGGTTGGCAGAGGGGAGGTGGTTGGGGGATGGGTGAAACAGACAAAAGAGATTAAGAGTACATTTATCCTGATGAGCACTGAGAAATGTATGAAATTGTGGAATCACTATATTGTATGCCTGAAACTAATATAACACTGTATGTTAACTATACCTGAATAAAAAAAAAAATTAAAGATTTTATTTATTTGACACAGAGAGAGAGAGCACAAGCAGGGGGAGTGGGAGAGGGAGAAGCAGGCTCCCTGCTGAGCAGGGAGTCTGATGTGGGACTCAATCCCAGGACCCTGGGATCATGACCTGAGCTAAAGGCAGATGCTTAACTGACTGAGCCCACCCAGGCGCCCCCCAAAAAAATTTTAATGAAAACAAAAAATGAAAAAAGAAGTTACTCTCTTGACAGATGAACTCAGCATGAAATATGGTTTGTCTGTTTGTTGCAGGCTTATAATAATAATAAATACTAATAATGCAACATTAATTTTATAGGTTCAATGAGGAAAATAAATGTAGAAAACTATTTTAAGAGCCCTAACTACACTTGTGGTGAGCATAGCATAACGTACAGAGATGTTGATTCATTATGTTGTACACCTGAAACTAATGTAAATTGGGTGTCAACTATACTCAAATAAAAAATTAAATTAAATTAAAATAATATTAATAAAATATTATAAGATGTGTTGTGAAAAAAAATTTTTAAATAAAAAACAGTTGTTAAAAATATTTCATATGGTCTTCTGAGACAGGCCAGACAACATTCCTTACCTGAAAACTGCACATGTCAAAAACAATAATCTTCACAAAATTATTTAGAACTTCATAAGGAAGTTTCTATTAATGTTATGAATGTATGTTTGTATACTCATACATATACAGATAGATAGGTATATATGTTATAAATAAATATTTCCTGGTGGACAGCCATCATTCATATTATAGTTGCATTAATTTTTCCCCTAAGGTAAACAGATATTGCATACAATCTCTAAATTTATCTGTATTCATGAATTTGTTCCACTCAAGAGAGAAGTAACTCTCTTGCTCTAAACCCTTCAAAAGTAGTGTCTATCCAACATTATGAAAGTTTTCCTCCATCTAATGTTTGAAATGGGTGAAGTTAAAATTTCTTACCATCCAGGCTGTGACAAAGTCCCCCATCCAGGTCCCTACCGCAGCTAATTTCATGAAACTTTCATTTCGGATGCCCATATAGTCTGTAATGATATATGCTCTGTGGAAACAAACACACAAGACATTGTCCATACTGAGAGAGCCATATCAAAGCGTTCTGGTTCAGCAACACGCAAAGGGACTTCCCTCCCTTTCAACAAGCTCTCCTGCCTTTGTCTCATCACATATGCTTACAGATCTGAAAGGCTAGGAAGACTTCTGAGGGTGTCTGGGTCAGTTCCAATTAGATTTGAAGACTGACTGTGGCTCTACCAATTACCATGTGCATTTCATTTTCAAGCTGTAAGACTGACAACAGTTTTTGAAAAATCAAACAGAAATACTCAGTAAAGGCATCATTTCATGCTCACTCAGGTATGCAGAGTGTGGAAACAATTCCTGAAGTAGAGTAACTTGAAAGGGAAGAGAAAAGCTCGCTTTTCCTTCAGTTCTGTTGACTCAGAACTATTGAAGAGGTACTGGGTCTAGGCTTTGGATACAATATCATACCTGAATAATGGTCAAAAAATGTCCATTTCAGAAAATTTCCACAGAATAAAGAAACATAAAATTTGATTCAAATACATGTGGTTTAAATTATTACTTAAATAACAATAACCAGATTTAATTTCATCTCTTTTTGTATCACAAATTCTTCTGCTTCCTATAACACCAATTCATGTTCTTCATGGTCCAAAGAGAGATTCAAAGGCACAACTGATCATTAAATACAAGTAACAAGACTATGCTTACTGCATGTAATTTTTATTTCCTTTTCCTCATTTGATATTCAAGAAAATCTAAGAATTATTTTCCCATTGTACAATTTCTCCAGGAAAACTGGGACACAGGGAGATCATTTAACTTGCCCAATTAATACCACACAACTAATGAATGGTAATTAGGAATCAAATTTCTCTCTCTCTCTCTTTCTCTCTCTGCCTCTCAAGTTTTTTTTTTTTACTCAGATTTTTTTTTACTTTAAATTTTGTTCCTTTTCTTAAACATGATAACACCTGTACAATTTAGAATATTAGTTAACCTTGATTCTTCTTAGATTAACTTTAAAACAAAACACAGTAGAAAATGATACGTTTGTTATTTAGTGAAACTACAAAGAAATAATTTTTTTAAGTCATTGAGAGGTAAATCATCTCCAATTCAGTTGTTTTTTTTTTCCTGGAGTTCTTTCTTACAGTTTTGTTATCCATAAAATAAACAAATATTTAAATAGTTTTACTTAACAAAAATAAACATATGAATTCTTAAAAGCACTTTTTTTCCACATCCTTCATTCACCTACCTTAGAAAATCTTTATAAAAATCTTAAGATCTCACCTCAAAATTCTGAGTCTCTATTCCATAGGTTTCCATAATAGCCAAAATAACTAAGCTGCTGGCTTACAATATTCCAGAGACCATTATAAGCACTTTAAATACAGTGTCTCCAATAGCTTCCATGCCAGCACAATGAAATGTGTTATTATTCCTGTTTCACAGATATAGAACTGAGGCTTTGGAGAGTTTTTACAACTTTCTCAAGGTCAAGCATCTAGGAAATGGACAAGGTTTGAATCTAAATTTGATTGACTCCCAAATCCAGACACTTAACCACTATGCTATATCTTCTTCCTACAAGGGTTAGTGAGATATAAAAAAAACACAAAGACTATCTACTCTATTCCCCAGTATTTTAGTAGACAATGAAGATCCAGACTTATTTCCTTTGAGGATAATTCATAACAGAAGCCAAGAGTAGTATGCAGAAGCTGCAGCTCGTCAGAGTCACCCTCAAGTCTTGGACTCCCACTGAGTTCACCAATCTAAGCAGCCTCCATGTGAAAGTCCACAAGTTAACTTGGACAGCTCGGTCTTAGTCCCTTCAGTAGCACTACTGGTGAACAGTTCTTGGGCAGTGAACTCAGCGTACTTTAGAGTATCAGCTCTCATAACTGTCCAGCTCTTTCAATAACACTTATTTTGAAGGATGTGTTCAATGACACATCCCTACATGCCTACTTTGCCAATTAGTTCTAGAATACATTGAGCTAGGGTGGAAATTTCAGGGTACCTTCCTTGTGATAACATAGGTATGTCTAAGAGAAGACATCATTCTCTAATTTCAGTATCTAAAAATAGGGATGAGATGGATAAGCTTGCAGGAGATTAATGATCCAGCCAAGAACAACTAAAAAATATAAATAAAACATAAAATCTACTTACAACAACCTGAAAGCTGATTAAGCAATGAGAACTAGAAAAACCAATTTATAAGATTGGAGGGAATTGTGGAAACGTTAGCTATATTTTCTCTGGGGACATTTGCTGATTCTGCATGCAAGGCAAGAGGATGAGAATCTAGGCTTTGCCTGGGCAGGGAGGAGTCTCAGTGAGCTGGAGAGACAAACATTAGGAACTTAAGGAACCAAGATCCTCATCTTGGAGGGGCCCAGAAGGAGGCATGATACACAGCTGGGTTTACTTTCAAGACATTTACCAAATTATGAATTATGTTCAGGGGGTAGGCTAAGAGACTAAGCAGAAAGTTTCTGAAAAGCACAGCAGAGGTTTGGCAATTTCACCACATTGAGGAGACTATTGTATTTCAGAACCTGCCAGAAGGAATGGCCCAAGAGAATACACAGAGCAATGGGAGGCTAGAGAATACCAGAGATGGATGGGTCCTTACTGAAACTGAATCAGTCCTTACCTACTCCATTCCATGACTGGATTAAGGTGATCAGCTTCTATTCCTCCCATCTAACAGAGGAAAGAGTGAACATTTTCGGGATGAATAAAATATCATCTAGGTCCCCTACACACTTTTATACATAACAACCATCATTCATTTAAAAACTACTAGGATGTCAAGAAACAGGGTTATACCATTGAAAATCAAGAGAAAAAACAATGTCTAAAACTAGATAATAAGCTCCAAGAGGACAGAAAGTTACTGTGGCCATTCTTTTCACTGTTGATTCCCCAGCACTTAGAGCACCGCCTGCAAATAGTATGTTATCAATAAACATTTGCTTACTGTGTGAATTAAGGAAGCAAACCAAGTTATTCATATTTTTTTCTATATGGTATGGGTAGATCTACGTATATTAAACCATAGAAACAGTGGTAAAGTAAGATCTGAACTGTGGGCATGTGATGAGTACTGAATGCTGTGGTAACAATGAAGATGAGATAGCACAATTTATGAAATAACTAGTATATATAAAAGTGAAGGGGGTGATATATAAAAGGTAGTAAGTATTCTAACTTTTGCTGCTTTAGACAAACATACAGAATTACAAATATGCAACCTGTCACAAAAATTTGGAAATACTAGTTCATTGATTTGCATACCCATTAACAGTAACAACACTTCCTGTTCTGGTTATAAAGGACAGAGTGTGCATACATTTATCAGTTTGAATATCACATTGCTCTCTACAAAAGTGAAGTTGTGAAGCTTCATACCCAATGTTTCGGGGAGTGATTGAGAATTAAGTGTTATTTGCTAGGAGGCACCATTAACGTTTTAGTTTTGTTTGGAGTTTTAGCTAATTATTTCAACTATTCATACATCTTTTGTTTGTTTTATACTTTAGCTTGTTATTCCCACTGTGCGTAGGTCTAGAAAATCTTGCAGTTCTATCAGCCTTCCAGGTAAATATCATTCACTGATATTTTCTTTAAAAATTCTAAATGAATTTCTTTACAGGCTGTAACTTCAGTTTTTATTTTTTGAGATCTCAAGTTTAACTGCCAAACCCATAACAGATGTGTGGAAACTTCAATATACAGGATCGTGGAAATGTTCATAATTATCAAAGCAGCCTGAAAAGCTATCAAGACTATCACACCTAGTGAAAACCATGTGCTAAATGGGCATACGCTAATCAGATTCTAACGTGGGCTAAATAGTCAATAAAACCATAATCTAGTATATTGCCCTTACAGGTAACAGTCTTGCTCACTAGCAACAAAAGTTCCAGTTCACTTCAGTCTATTACTTATATGTACATGGATGGAGTCAGTGCCAGGTGATTTAGGAGTTGAGTCTCTGAAAGTTTAACAGAAGGCAGTAAACATAGATCACCAAACCAATATGGATTCATGCTTCACTGAAGATCCATCTGTGCCCAGCTGGATTCATAATGTCACAGCTGTCTCTCCCAGCCATGTTTGGGCAACATAAACAAGATTGGGGGCTTCATACACAAGTAAATCATGGATAAGGAGTTGACGTAACATGAGTACAGTCTTGCATTAAACACAATGAAACTAAAGCAAAAATTCTAAGCATTCTTGTGACATTGAGGAAAAAAAATCTGTCACTACAAAGCACCAAGAATTAAACCTAGATTTATTATATTAACTCTCTCTCACTCTTCTTGTGTTTGTGAGGAAATGATTAACAGACTTCAATCTAGTCACTTAGTGAACTATTATCCAAATAACCACATTTTAGGGGTGCCTGGGTGGCTCAGTCATTAAGCGTCTGCCTTCGGCTCAGATCATGATCCCAGGGTCCTGGTATCGAGCCCCACATCGGGCTCCCTGCTCTGCGGGAAGCCTGCTTCTCCCTCTCCCACTCCCCCTGCTTGTGTTCCCTCTTCCTGTGTCTCTCTGTCAATAAATAAATAAAATCTTAAAAAAAAAAAAACCAAATAACCACATTTTAGTATTTTTGCTCAAAATTCTTAGTTTTTGCTTATTGAAAGGCTTATTTTTAAAAGATTTTATTTATTTATTTGACAGAGAGAGAGAGACAGTGAGAGAGGGAACACAAGCAGGGGGAGTGGGAGAGGGAGAAGCAGGCTTCCCGCTGAGCAGGAACCCGATGTGTGGCTCAATCCCAGGACCCTAGGATCATGACCTAAGCCAAAGGCAGATGCTTGACAACTGAGCCACCCAGGCACCCCTATTGAAAGGCTTTGATGGAATTCAATACACGTGTATGAACCTTCCAGGCAAGAGCTATGGTATGAACCTATGAAACAAGATGCATTGGAATGTCAAAATCCTGCAGACAATAATTAGAAGTAGCCTGGAATAATTAAAATTGCA